ATTGCAAGGATATTCAAATATACAAACGTTCGTAGATATTTTCAATTCGAAAACATTTTTTCGCAATATGATATTCAAGAATATAATCGACACGAGGTTGAGGTACGATCGTGCGACGTAAAAGGCGAATGATATAAATAAATACATAAAAAGGAACTTAAACACGAAAGTCTGCGGTAAGATTGTGCGTTTCTATGAGTTGTTGTGAAAATAGATTTCGCGTTTTGAAAAATTTCTTCGTAATTGCTTTTGAGACATTAGCGTCATTATTATTTAGTATTAATGGCGATAATTCTAAGACATTCCGTATTGGCGCATTCAATTATCAAAGACGCAGTCGAAGACATACGTATTATCGTTCATGCTGATTTAGTATTTACGTGTATCTGCAGGGCATAGCAAGGTCGAGGGCAAAGGACTTTCATATTTTGCTCCATTAATTGCTTTTACATAAAGTCTATTTTAGACTGTGTTAAAATCAAAAGTGTAGTTATTAAACTAATTATAAAATATTAAATTATTCAATACTCTATATATATATATATTAGTTCTATAGTACTAATACTTACATAGTTGTCACCTATACATTTATTACAGTTGCTATGCCATATTTTTTCTGAGTATAATATTGCGAGATGAGTCGAAGGATTCAATGTAATAATGAGAAATTTCTCCTTCGAAAGTTAGAGAACATTTATATGTTAAACTGAAATTAGGAGAATTACATAAAATTTGTGAAAAGTAAAATCAGTTTGAGAGAAAGAAAATTGATGATGGATGCCCTAGACTATTACATTTGAGAATAATAAAATCGGATATAAATTTTCTTAAATTTATCTACAATATAATAATGTAGAATAGAATAGAATTTATTACACTTTAGCATTTACATAGCCAAGAAGGGAATTTGATTTACATAAATTTCTTATCCACTCATCCTTTCCACTGCTAGTACCTAATTCTAAAAACAAAAAAAAAATTTTCTTAATGTTCTCATTTCTTTGAATATTACAGTATATGTTCCTCTATCTTATAATATTTACTTATATATCACAGCTCGACCCCATTGCATATACTATACTACATAATACAATACAATACAATAGTACGATTTATAGCTACAACTATACATAGATATGTCGCAGTACAATACAATATAATAATGTAGAAGATATATATTGATCAATGTTTGAGAAAAGAAATTAATTTAAGAATGATTTATTGATAATCGTTGCGATGAAGCCTTCAATTTGTTTGAAAGTATCAAAATCAGATATAAATTTTTTTATTTTTATCATAGATTGCGAAATTTCGCAATGTAATTAGCAAACTTTGAGAATCGCTATAATCTTAAGCCTCGATGATCACACTTCGTGAAAATTACGTAACGATCACACGGGGTCAACATGACTCCAGTTACATTGAAATGCCACAGCTTTATTTTTATAGGCATAGAGTCAAAAAAAATTAGGGACATTCTTTGAACTTTAAAATATGTATTCGCATATGTTTTTGCTGAATTAATAATTTTAAAATAGTCAAAAAATTCATGAATGAAAAGTGACTTTTTTTATTTAAAAAATCAACCTTTTTATTTTTTAATTGCGTAAAATTTTAGGGATAAAATCTTTAGATGCTGCACTTCGATAAAAAAAAAATTATAGCGGACGCTTCAAAAAAGATATTTATTTTGAAGATTGATTGGGGTCACCCTAGCAATGTGATACGTCCACTTCATTCGATTGTCGAAAACACACTAACGCGTTTTACGCCATGCCAATCGCATGGTAATGTAATTAGAGACTCAAACTACTAGATGGAGCGTTAGGCGTTATTTCGAAATTTAAGTTGGTAAAAATTTAGTCCAAACTTTTGGTGGGGTCAATTAGGGTTAAGATATTGTTTCGCAATATTTCCTCGCTTGTGATCTCTCTCATTCAGCTTCGCGATTTTTTTTCTCATTATCAATTGGAGAAAAAGAAGTCTGAATAAGCTAAGCGATTTACGATTCTCTATCGTTTCGTTTTTTTTTCATGCGAGATTTTGATAGATCCCGAACTGACAGCCAGGTGTAGAACTCTGTCTACGATTATTATGGTATGCCAGGTTGTCGGATGCACTCCTAGCTGCCCCTTCCGATATGCAATCATTGCACAGCTGGCGGAAGCACACTGGTCTCGTCGCAGGCGCTCCTCGGCGTTAATGCCGCTAATCGCAATACATTATCGATGTAGGAGGAAACGCATGGGTCAAGTTCGAGGTGCAAGGTGTTCGTGATCTTGACCGCGCGTTGTCGATCGCCCCGGTTTTGCATGTCTCGATCGAAAAGAATCGATTAAGCTCGTATCACACTATACACTAGTATACACATTGAAGATTGCGAATTGGAGATTAGATTCGACCAGTTATATAATTTTGTCTATAATACCGTTTCGTTCTGGTAAGCTGAATTAATTTTAATTTTAATTTATTTCATTCTCACTGACTGAATTTTAATCTCCAATTCGCAATCTTTAATCTCTAAATGCATAGTGTGACATGGGCTTTAGTCCGTCCCCCCGAATGTTTTAACAACAATGTATTTCAATAAACAGCGGAAAAGCGATGAACATGTGGCGATAATAAGACAAACGTGTCTCATTATGTAATCGCCAGGATTTTTATTTAAACCGAATCGTATATGTTTAACCTTCGATGATAATTGGATCAGACTGATGAATATCTGTCAGTTTTTGAATATTACTCGAGTATATCTGTTTTACGTTATAAAAATGTAAAAAATCAAATTTGAAAACTACTTTTTATTATTGTCTTATATACTAGATTTATTATTATTTAGGGAATGATTTTTTAATTAATTAATAGAGCACGAATCAAGAATGACCCAACTACAATCCTCTCCAAAAGGTTTATCATTCATTTTATTTTCTTTCAAAAATTTGTGTATTAGAGATTATAGTACTAAGAGTATATTGTATTTTAAGACACATTAATTATTTTTTTAATAATAACGAAATTTTTTATGTTGCTCAATTATTTCAATTGAAAAGTAATGTAATTGAGCAGCCATTAAGAATATCGTGAAAAAAATAAATGTGTTCCAAAGCGCAATATATGTCTCTTATATAGTATTCCACAGTCTCCTCCACTAATATTTTTTATTTCTGAGTCTTAATTTTGTACTATATGTTTTAGTGCTTAAAAGAGATGCCAGAGTAATGAAATTATTAATACATTACAACTGTATAAAAATCTCCGAATTGACTGAAAGGAATAAAAAATCCTTTTGCAAGATTGAAATAGATGTAAAATTAAAAAGTGTGCAGCAATGGATTTTATACTAAAGTTCTCGTCTGACGTAGACGTTTCTTTAATACAAAAATTTCATGCTCGCATTGACAAAATGATACAATAGCACCACTCGTCAAATTACGTGAATTATGAACAATATTGAGTTTATAAAACTAAGGTTGAAAACTTAAAAAAAGATTTATATTGATTTGCAAATTACGTGTATACCGGTGTATATACGTATGCTTAACGGAGGCTCAAATTAATAAGCAGAATAGTAATTGTGTGTAGCAGTAAGTGCCGGATTTTGCAAGAGAGTGTTGCAATATGTTAGATAAGGACAAATATATGCATATATAATATATAAATGAGACAGAACAATAAAATGTAAGAAATGAATTAAATGAAAGATGTCTATTATCGACATTTTTAATATGGAATTAAAAAAGTCTGTACTATTGACATCGAGTTTGGCCATTGTTTTAGCATCCCCTTATAAGAGAATTGATCCCAGAACTGTCAAAGCGCTAATAAATGACGTTTTCTCTCTCTTTCTCCCTTTTCTCCCATTCTCTCAGCTTGATTAAAATCGGTGCAGAAAAGTAATAAACACGTGATGATAACAGGTACATGTCGTATGTGATCGTCAAGATTTTTATCGAATTATGCAGATGGAAGTAAAAACAGACAAGTCGGAGCTGCGCTTTGAAATAAGAACGCGAAGCAGGTACATGTACAAGATGCCATTTCATAAGATGTGGTGGTCTTCTTTGTTTTTATTACGGTTCTTATCTCGCTCACGAATGTTAGGACAGATGAGACTAAACCGCGTAAAGATTGTACGTGCAAGATTGTGTGTACAATTCACGCGTTTCGTTTGCTTTTTTTTTACAATATACATATTTTTCATAACATTTACTTTCGCAAGACGAATGTTTCGACTTTGAACGCGAATAAACATCCAGAAAAACGTGCCGTTTGTACCTGTATCCGTATTTTTTTTGTTCTGCTTCGTATTTTACAGTTCACTTTGAAGTACGGAAGCGAAACGCACTTTTCTCGCTTTTATTCGCGCTTGTTCCGATATTATAGATAAAATTAAGTTACATCTTCCTTCGCGTACAGCTAAAAATAAAAATGAATACAGACTTATGTATCGTGTTGTCATTATGTATCAATTTAATTTAATGATATAGTGCGTTTTTTTTTGTACACCTGAGCAGAATAATAGATTAAAGTACAAAAATTCAAGGAAGTAGGATTCAACGCGGTAATTAGTGCGCTAATATAATATTGAATTTTTGTATTTTAATTTGTTAAATTGTTGAGGAGTCTGATTCCAGAAAAATAGAGTCAGGATAACGTCACTTTGATGTTAAAATAAATTATGATATTCATGACGATCAGGACTGATCGAAAAATGACTTTGAATAATTATTTTGATGCCATTTTGTGGCACACCTTTTGACGTCGTCAAAATGGATGCCAAGTGTCTTTACGTTCCGACTGAGTATCGTTATGTCATAATTTTGATATGTAACGGTGTAACATTCTCTGCGTCTATACTGATACGCAACGATGATATGCGCGGATATACGCAATAAGTTTGTATTCGCCTTAATTGATATGTTGTTATGCCTTGCATAGCAACAGCTCGCCAAGTTTTTGCGGACTTCGCTCTTCACGGCTCGGGTACGCTTTTCTTACAGGTACTGGGCAGGCAGCAATACATCGTGCGACCGATGGTAATGGAAGAGAATTGCACGCCCGGGACTGGCAGCGACAACCCAGCGATTGCCGGAAGTAGCGGGATCATTAGCGAGGCCGCGCTGGCACACGCACCAGCCTTGACCGAACGAAACCTCCGGGAGTACGGAATTCCTCTACAGCAAGCTATCGAAAAGGTGTGTCCCACATCGACCACACGATGTGGTGGAAGAAGGCTTTGGATTTCAAATACTTATTGAGATATTTTATTTAAAAATTATATTTGTAATATTGTCTATTAAAAATACTCCATAAATAGACATCGATCGATTTGTTAACATTGGGAGAAAGTCAATTTTCAGGAGACACATTTTTGGAATAAAAGCCTTTAAATCAAGTTGAATCTTAAGTACTTATGATTCGATGTATATTTATATACTATCTACACTGTAGTTATTTAATTTACGCGCCGAATTGATTTTTCATTCATGAAACGCCAACCTGACTAAACTACAGTAATATTACAAATTAAATTGACTATAGCAATTTAATAATTTGATATTTATCATAAGCATCTTGGAAAGATCTTAATGATGCCAAATAACATATAAAAATCTGTAAATAATTTTAATGCGAAATTGCGAAAAATATAATAACCCCGGCCGGGGAAAAAAAAATCGAACCTGGATCTCTTGCACTGTGTGCGAACATCCTCACCTCATTATTTACAGATTTTAATATGTTTTTCAACTTCATATATTATTAAGATCTTTCTAACAATAAAATGTGAGCATCATGAGCATCAAATTATTGAATTGCTAATCAATTTAATTTAATGATATTACTATTGCAGTTCAGTTAGGTTTACGTTTAAAAAACACAAAATCAATTCGGCGCGGAATTTAAATGACTACGTAGGTAGTATATAAATTCCCATCGAATCGTTTAAGGCAATTTAAGCATTTAAGATCCAGCTTTCCGTCCAGCAGACCGTTAAAGGCCTTACCCACATAACCTTAACCACACATTCTTTTTTCGAGAACATAATCGGGACATGAAATGGGCATAACATGGACTTTTTCGAATACCAATGTGTTGTGTGGGATATTCTTAAAATATTTACATTAACGATCCTAAGAAATGCTTTGTTTAATAGGAGAGAAATTTATCTTTTACTCTTTTATCTATTGAGAGATAAAGATATCCATGCATTTTTTTATTCTTCAGTTAAAAGATAGATAATCTCTTGAGAGTTAGGAATGTAGTATGTGTATATGTATAAGGTACCTGAGCCCCGAATGTGCAATAAAAAATAGGAGGTTCCATTTAAGAAATTGAAGGTAACCTTCATGTGACCTTCAAGCAACTATTCAAGGTCAAACTAAAGATATCATCTTATGTCCTCCCTCAAAGCCATAATATAAAAAAGTGATGAATTTGAGATGGGACATTAAAATGGGACACCCTTATAAATAATATATTTTATTTTTAGAAGTGAATGTGAAATGAAGATTTGATTCTTACTTAGTTTAATTATTAATACTCCCATAAATAGAATTTTTAAAAAGTAAAATAAATTAGGTGGGCCTTATTCGGTTTAGGTACCTTATAGTGCCTTATACGTACATACATCTGCATGCGTGCGTGCGTGCGTACATGTATTTATGTATGTATATGTAGACATATATACAATATTTGGTTAGTATTAAAACGTCACCTTTGTGAACCTGGTCCCACTTTTTCAATATTTGAAAAAGATAAGTAGAGTTCTGGTTTTCTATCAATCCTCGAAGAGTTCTAGAGTTCTCTATCAATTTTAGAAAAAATTCCGTTGATTAAAGCGGTGAAAACACCATTTAAAGTATCGAGAGGGAAGGAGAGGGGCAACTTCACGATTCTGAAACTTTAAACGGCTGTAACTTCTTTACGGTTCATTTTATCACCTTCATTCATATAGGACAATCGATAGAACTCTTTAGGGGAGGAAGGGGGAGGCACTAGAAATTCTTAAGAAAACATTGGATTTCTGAAAAAAATGTTTTCAAAAAAAAATTTCTAGAAAAAAATTTTTTTAAGATTTCCAGCATTTTGTCATGAGTTCTGATAGTCCCTCGAAGAATTCTGACGATTATCTTTAGTAATCAAATAGCTGAGACTGCAAACAAAAAAATTTTAGCGCCTCGAAGTAGAAAAATTCGAAAACTGAAACTTCAAAACTTCTAAACTTCTAAAACTTTTTAGACAGTGGTTTCAGCGATTATTAAGGATAAAGAATCGTTAGAACTCTCCAGGGGGCTACTGGAACTCTCAAGAATGTACTTGATTTCCGAAAAAAATTTTTCAAAAAAAATAAAAATTTTCTTTTAAATCCGTAATTCTGTTAAGAGTTATGTTAGCTCTCCGAAGAGTTCTGACTATTATCTTTAATAATCGATGTGCTAGAATTAATATCTAAAAAGATATATTGATTCTAGAAGTTTGAAGTTTCAGATTCCGAATTTCTCTATTTCAAGGTGGTAGAACTTTCTTGTTTGCAGTCTCAGCTATTTGATTATTAAAAGTAATCGTTAGAACTCTTTGGGAGGTTATTAAAACTCATGACAAAATGCTGGAAATCTAAAAAAAATGTTTTTTCCAGAAATTTAGTTTTGAAAAATTTTTTTCGGAAATCCGATGTTTTCTTGAGAGTTTTAGTGGCCTCTCAAAAAGTTCTATCGATTATTCTATATAGATCAAGCTAAAATGAATCGTAAAGAAGTTATAGTCGTTCAAAATTTCAGAATCGTGAAGTCGATCTCTTTAAATGGTGTTTTCACTGCTTTAATCAACGGAACTTTTTCTAAAATTGATAGAGAACTCTAGAACTCTTCGGGGGGGGGGGGGGCAACTAGAACTTTATTTATTTTTTCTAAATGTTGAAAAAGTAGGGCCAGAGGTTGAAATGCTTTTCATGCAAGGCATCATCAAAAATATATAAAAAATCACTAAAAATCTAAAAAAATTGATTTGAAAGCTTCAGTACTTTTAAATTACAAATATTATCTTTCTTTTTTAAAGATATTTATTAGTATCGCACCTTAGCTCACAAGAAAAAAAGAGTACAAGTAAAAAACATAGTAAAATTGTTCAAAAGAGAGGAAAGAAAATTACGCATTTTAAAATTAATTATTTACAATTTTATTTTAGTATTAAACATAAGTCAACTTTGAATACTTACGAATTATTTGTTTCAAAATTCTGTGGAAATAATATTAATTTAATATGTTATATTTGTTAAACCCTTAAAAACTACCCTTATTTTATTTTGTTTTTCTCTGGTGTCATTTTTTTGGAAGTAAAGTATCTGAATTGAACTTGTGTCTTTTCTTGCGGGAATGCGATATATCAATAATACAGTTGCTAATTTTTCACATGTATCCTTTTCGATAATATCATCAAAAAGAATTAATATAATAATGATAGAGAAAATAATGTAACGCATGCATAAATGTCTTATTTTTGTTTCAAGTTTGAGACTTGGTGGAGCTCAATGGCTGGCGTAACTTCCGGTCTTAAGCCACGGTTTGTTGTGGACGGTCAGGCATCTATGAGACAATGCCTGCATCCGGAGGCTTGCAATAAGGATATCGAGCTACCGGAACATTACAACTATTTTCATGATCTTCGAAAGGACTTTGTAGAATGTTATTCGTCTCATGGGGAGCTGTCGACCCTCGGAGTACAAGAAATGTTGCAATGTATCCTTTCACGCTTAAAACTGTCGTAAAAACTGTCATCAGTCGCCAAGCTGACCTTGCGTACCTTTCTCTTATTTCGTATCTTTTTACCATAGACATAAGATAGACCCAGCATCTATACACTTTTCTATAGTATGCTGGGTTTGGCTAATGCTGAGACTATCTTATATGTTTATGCTTTTTACACGCACACACACATAAACATTTACAAAATATTTTTAGTCTCTCTTTCTTTCCGTCTTCGATGTGACGGTGTGTTATCTTTGACATTAGTGCCACTGCATACGACCAGTTAACTTAAATTTTCTCTTCGATCCCAAGTGTAGAAATTGTGGGATATAATTTATTGACAGTTTTAGTTACTATAATTTTCTTTATAGAAATGTAATACTGGATAATAATTAACTACTTATTTTGAATGTCGAATGCTAGTGTTTTTAATATTCAAAATAAGTAATTAATTACTATCTTTTAATATTAATATGACTAATCTAAAAAAATATGGCTAATCTCAAATTGGCCAATATTGGATTTCTTTAAGGGTTCTTTAATTCTCGATTAAATTAATAGCTGTGTTCAGTGCGGACTCAACAGTTGAGTGAGCGCTCGTTGTTATTTGTGTATTCTTCTAGATCTAAAATTCTGATTGGATGAGCTAAAAGAATATAACAATAACAATAAGCGCTCACTCAACTGTTGAGTCCGTTAAATGCGGCCTATGTTTTCATTTCGGGCTATAAAATGGCCGAATAAAATCCTGGGAAGGATTTTAAGGACTATTTTTAAGTGTGCTACACTAGTTAAGGAATCTCGCACGGTATTGTATGCTAATGCCGGTGCACACACGTCCTCACCGATGGTGTATCGGTAACGGTGCTTGCCGCGGAATGGTATTGCAGTAATGCAGTTTCGTGTTCGAACTTCGAACTTGAGCCGCGCAACACCGACATGGTCACGTCCCGACGAAGAAATTCACCCACGTGTTCATGTCGCTTGCGGGTCTCCACGTTGAGGACCTACTCGACGCGTGGCCGTCAGACGGCGCGATGGAAGTCAATATATCGTTAGTCAACCCGAGACACTTGATGCGTTTGGCGCTCCCCGACGACGACCGGACGACTCACGACACCGGTCGTATCTCAACCTCAACCTCAACCGACGAACCGACGTCAGCAGACGTCAGTATGCGTCAGTAGCGACAGTAGCAAGTACTGCAAGCGGTAACGAGTAGCCTCTACGATCCGCTCACGTACCCAGTACGAGCGCATGTGTCGCGTCGTAGTCGCTGCCATTCGCGTGAATCTCGAGCGTGATTGTGACGAATTCTCTGGCTGGCTTCGTTCGATCTCCAACGAATTGTTTGAATTGTCATAAATTAGACTAAAAAATTAGAAAAAAATCAAGCGAAGGTAGAGAAAAAAATTGATCGCAGCATCGTCTTTCACAGTTACGAGACTCTTCTTGGGCTCAACCTATACGCATAAACTGCTCGGAATTAAAGTAGAGGACAGGTACGTTTTTGTTCTGTATTTGGACTGATGTGGAGGACGGTTGAGACATCTGGACGTTAATTGCAGTCGGAATCGTTTGAAAAATAAGATTCCATTATTTATTGACTGCACTTTAAATTTATTACGATGAACTTTCTTAATCCTATAAATATCTACGTAAAATGTAATTAAATTAATCCATCATTTTTATTTATTTTTAAAAGTAACGAGTGTGATAAGGTGTTGTTCCCTCGCATTTTATTAGTGGATTTGAAATTTATTTCAAAACTTGCAATCTAATAGAGTAATGCGATTTTCTTCTCCATTCATCTCGCTTTTAAGATAACTTTAATATTGCGTGGCTGAAGAATATTACGCAAGATTGAAATGTCTCGTGTGAAATTTTTATTAAATTTTTTTATACCTGTTGAGAATATATCACTCATTTATTATGACAAGGACGTAATTCAACATTTGTCATTTTTTAGTTGCTTGCAAGAAAAGAACGGAAATATAAAAAAAAAAAATATACTTTTTATTCCTCTACAATCAATTATTACACTAAAGTTACATTTCAAAAAATTAATATTACAAAATTTAACGATTCAAAACAATTAAATTCTGGAAAACTTTATTTTTTAAGTCATGTAGCAAATGAGCGATATTAGTAGACAGTAAATATTATCATTGTTAATTTACTCATTTATTTAACTACTTTATATACGAATTCTTTGTTATATGATAACTTTAATGGAAATTCGAATCTCGAAGTTGATATTTCCTACATTAAGAAGTCAGAATTAACAGATTCGCGAAACAAATCAAAGTGTTCGTCTCAAATCCAATTTCGATTCGGATTCACATCAGCTATATATATAAATTCTCCTTTTATATCCAGCATGTCGCGCCATATCTACCTGGCACTAATAAAACAAGACCACCTGCGCCGTCTGAGACATATGTGTACGAATATGCACGTATGAATATCGATCGATTCACCGTTCACCTGTTCAATGCGAGCCGCGTTCGAGATTAGCCGGACTTTGGTTTTCTACATTCCGTTCACACACGCACTTCGAACGCATGCACGTATGTGCAGCTACATCGCAGATACAACGTTTCTACATTCAGGGAATTTTGTCTTGGAGTCTCTTTCGTCAATGTTATATCAATGTAAACATCAATATAAATATTATTTAAACATTAATTTAAAATTCTTCTAAAAATATCTCCTTGAGAATTATGAATTTGTAATATTATTTAATTATTAGCTTGATTATCAGGTACATTGATTTTGTTGTCTCTCTCTGTCAAACTGATGTTATAATTGATGTTTCATTTAACAAAATTGTTGATGTTCCTACTACTTCTATCTCTCAGTTAGAATTTCGAAAGTGTCACTTAGCATGTTTCCGAGTGACGCTAATAAGGAATTGTATCATTAAGTGGACATGTAATGTGCATTGATATTTTTCTTGTGTTCATAGTTAAGGCCCCTATTCACTCACCACTATTATCTCAGATTGTGACATCAGAAGACGTTCAAAGTCAGTAAACACAGTAAACATTCTTTGAATAGAAATATTTTTCGATAAATATTTACAATATTTACAATCAATAGAATAGATGAATGAAATACCGAAATACTATCTTTTTGTTTTGAGAAAAAATTTTATTTTCCTCTATATTATTAATTTTGTCATAATTGTAAACATTGCTTATTTAATTGTTTTTGGTTATTCATTTTCAATATATTTGGTTATTTATGAATTAATGAAACAAAACAAGAGTTAATACATTTTGCAAGAATATTTGTTGTATATTTTCTCGATTTTAACGTCATAATCTGAGATAATAATATGAGATGAGAGTCTTATTTTTAAAAGAGTCAGAAATATAAAAGATTACACAATTTTTGAGAGCTATTACGTCTCACTTGATCTTATTTTTCAATATGGAGTTAGAAGGCTAATCCAATATCTTATCGTCATTTCTAGGCAAAAGTGCGTAGCAGAATTAACATCTTCGAAATGGAAGAATCAACGATTCATTCAGAAATCTGCATACGCGAAATATCCTCTTTGCTAAAATTGTCAGAATGTGACCTTAATTCCTATGTTTCTTCTTTTGTTACTCATCTCGATGACAAGACACATTTTGGGATCGTTCATATCGCGGTCGAGGAAAAGATTGTGTGCGAGGAAAAAGGAACGTCGCACTTTACGATCAGTAACGACCAGATGACTTGAGAAAGCCTTCACGAGGCGATGTCGTCTTATCGGTACGCGGTTTAAAGGTCAGTCCTCCGATGAAGATATGGCTAACTGGCCAGTAACGAATGAACGTCACGTGTGTATATGTGTATACACACACACACATGTATATATATATATATACATAATGTGTGTGTGTATATATATATATATATATATATTTATACATATTATGTTTCTTTCCTCGACGATTTTAGTTTTCAAGTTTAGATACTCGACTGTATCTTTATATTAACCTCTGCGTGATCCGTATGTATGGATATCGCACTGAGAGAAAAGATATTTTTGATATTTGTGATTATATAATTGCACAGTAAAATAATTATAGTTACTTATGTTTCATTTTTATAACTGTTACTATTGTAATGTTAATAATCATATTTATACAAAAAAATATGTATAGTTGGCACCGAAAATGTAATTAACTATAATATTTCATATAATAACTAAAATATTTAACTATAAATTATAAGTAAATTTTAGTAACTGCAATCATTTTTTCTCTGAGTGCACCTAGTCATTATGAAAGTGTTCGTTTATTTGTAGTTTCTAATGTTCGTTTGTGCTCCATCGTTTATCAAACCATATTGTTTACCAATCCTGTTGTTCTTCTATTCATTCAAGCCTGACATGCTCAGAGTCTGTAATTCGAGTTGTATTCGTGAGAAAATGCATCCTAGTCGAATACGTAAATCTCTATTATATATATATATGTGTGTGTGTGTGTGTGTGTGTGTGTATTTATATTATTATTATGTACTTTTTCTCTTTCATTATCGTTATGTAAGGTCTGTATAATCGCTAAGGTCATATGCAAAGTGGCACCAATGTCATTTATAATCGAGGAGTTTGCATGAAAATGGAAACCGTATAAAAGATACGAATTATATTTATATTTAATGTAATTAAATATTGTTTCTTATATTCTCAAATAGTTTTAAAGCTCTTATCTTTCCAGATTGTGTCTTCGTTACGCTCTTTAATGTGTTCTTTAAAGGTGTTCGTGAGCTCGTTCAAAAACTATTCGATATTATTCTATTTTTTTCAACTGAACTTCTTGTAATGTTCATCTCTTTCCTCCTTTACTCTCCAACGTAGAGAGCACAATAGGAAAGATAACATTGCAAAAAGTTCAATTGAAAAAAAAACAGGCCAATACTTTCTTTTTTTCACCGTAAATTTTGCAATTATCAAAATAATGCTCATGTAGGTCGACGACCAAAAAAAAAAAAGACGCGTGAGATACGCCTAAAAGTAAAAGTTTCGTAGGATTATTGGTAAATTTGAGTCAACGTACTGCGCAAAGATCGCACCAGTTCTGATTTAAAGTCAATCTTTAGGCTTCGTTTTTCTTACGAGACTTGTCGAAAGCGCGGACGAGTCGTTTTACCTATCAGTTACGATACCAGAGTCGATTTTATCGAACAGATTTCTCCTTAACAGTTAATAATCAGATTTCGGAATGCCATCAGATACTGACAATGATTTTCACGTCAAAGAAATACAGGATATGGTCAACGTGATACAGAGGATGATCAAGGACGGTAAGCGAATAAATATCAAGAGTATGTCTACCGACGTCGCGTGTAAAAATGTACAAAAAAATTATATCTGCGTTTCGAAATTTTTTAGAAAAAAGAAAGATGATAACTTCAGTCGATATAATTCGATACGTGTAATTCTGAAGATTGCTCGTCAATGTAGCATTAACTTTAATCTCGATTTAATTTATTTTTTATCTTGTTCTAATTCTTAGAACCAGAACAAGATGAAGATAAGTTGAAACTAAGATTAAAGTTAATCTATTGATAAAAATGGGCATTAGAATCTTATCAATGTTCTGAAACGAATGAGGGGGAAAGGATCCTCATACTTGGTCCTTATAATGTTTGGACTCGGCAGTTTCGAATTATCTTTTCTTTTCATTTTCTCTCTCTCTCTCTCTCTCTCTCTCTCTCTCTCTCGTGAGAGATAAGAACTGTGCACGAGTTCTCCTACGTGCGTGTGTACATATACGCATGGTGTAACGTTTCTGTACGCTCATTTCTCCAAATAATATGCAGTGTGTTTACGCCCGACGTGCACGTGATGGCCTTGGAGGTCACGATTGCGACGCTGATTAAGTCACTCTCATCGAAGAGTTATTCTCCTTTCAAGAGTGGTACTTTGGAGATGTGTTCTGCGATTTCGCGGACGGTATCGCGCATTTTCTCGATATTTCACACTCTCAGCACATGGAATAGAGTTCCATCGTTTCGAATTTCGGGATTTCATCGTTTTTGATTGATCATTCATTCTTCTAGAGACATACCATACATACTCTCTTTCTCAGTCGCAAGACTGAGTGCAGATCAAGCCACGCAATGTTCTAAGCAGCGTGATGGCTCTTATCACAGTGACACTCAACTTGCAAAAAGCTACGTTGCTAACACATACGTTAATGCGTACTATCGCGATGATACGTACGTGAGAAAAAAGAAAAAGACAAGTTGCGCTTCTGACACTGTGCTCGATCTTTCAATCTGCCCTATTGGCGTTTAATAGTAAGTAAAATAATTGGAGCTACTTTGAATTCAATAGCTTCTACATAATCGAATTTTCAGTTTTTGTTATAATAAATTTATTTATAATAAATTCAAAACTTGCTTCAATTTTGTTAAATAATCATCGTGATTTCCCCCTGTAGAAATTTAATACTAATACTGGCCAATTAATCACTTATTTTCAGTAAAATATATAAAATATATAAAAAATACTTAATATACTTTTAATACTCAAAATAAATGATTAATTGTTCAGCACTAACATTAAATTTCTATAAAGGTATCAGATTAGAGATTAAGATTAAGATTGGATTGGAATTTAACCAATCAAAAAGCAAATTTCACTAAACTTGAGATTAAACTTCTTTCTTCTAATTGGTTAAATACCAATCTAATCTCAATTTCAATCTAGCCTTAAGGATTGTTGACAATTTAAAATAATAGCTGCAAAATGTGATTCTTAGTTCTGGGGAATTTACAAAAAGAAAAATATTCACTTAGAAATTTTTTTTGAATACGTACTTAGATAAATTTCATTTTAGAAGAATATTTTAGAAAGTTTTGGCAAGCGACATTCATGTCCATTTTTCTACTACCAATGTAAATTAACTTTAAATCTCCGTTTAATTTATCTTTATCTTTTTCTAATTCTTGGATAAAAGATAAAAAAAGATAAAAAAGTTAAACTGAGAGATTAAAGTTAATTTCTACTAGTACAAAAAGAATATTAGTCTTTCTCGCCGTAATCTTTCGCTATTCTCGTCCGACACTTCCGAAAATTTCAGAAAATACGAAGCCATTATCGAGGTAAACGAGGAAACGGCGATCGATTCCACATGCATTTCGCAAAGACGGATTTTTACTTGTCGACGGTGCACATTTCGCCGAGGCCACGAATCAAATGATCACTTCGTGCAGGTATGAGAAATCGGAGACTAACTAGCGGATATAAGATTACGAAGAGGAAATGCATAAGCGCAAGTTTAGAAGACATTACGCATTGTCGCCGGACTGAGACAGTCTTGATCATTTTTTTTCCTCGTCATAATGCCTCATATATAATTTTGATCTTTCTTAAGTGATGTTCTATTATGAGATTTTAAGGCGTAAAACTTAAGGCAAGATTCTAAAGACAAGAGAAGTCACGCATAGTAAATAGGATTTAAAGCTCTACATAAATGTCGTGGAATCGTAAGAAAATCGTAAGAAACTAACCAATTATAGTCAAACACAAGGAGAATATTCGATTGGGATTGGTCAATTTCCTACAATTTGAGATCGTACGACCGTTTATGATTTATACATATATAGACGAGTCTTACATGTATAGATTTAAGCTGGTTCTACATTAGTTGCAAGCTGATCGTAAGTTTGTTGATCGACAGCCAATCTAAAGCTTGTTTTTTGAAATTAACGCTTCATATTGGCTGTTGCAACTAATGTAGAACAGGCTTTACATGTCATGACACATCACTATATACTACTATATCAATATCTCACTCACGCATGCCACATATACACATACATTTTCGTGTAACAATAATGTTTCAATTAGATGGTCCAAATCCAATTCTAAGAACTCCACGTTGTTTCTTCGTGTAAATTATACTCTTTCTCCAGTCTGGACTACTATTTCGCAAGTATAGATTGCACAGCTTTTATCGGATTAAGAAATGGTAAAGATTTCAAATTTGAAATTTTTTGACATTCTTTAAACTCTATCTCACAGACGCATGTTAATGCGTATATTTTAACCTTTAGACTGTCAGCATTTTTTCATTAAAAGTGATTCTTTTCTCGCAAAAATTTTATCGAGGCATATATTTTAATCTTTAGACTGTCAGCATTTTGTCATTAAAAGTGATTCTTTTCTCGCAAAAATTTTTCTATATAAGTAACATGGCACAAAATTTCGAAATTTGTACAGAACCACAAAAAAATGGCTTTTCCGGCAAGGAACATACGAAAATATAAAAAATATTTATTTTCTCAAAAATAGTGTATTTTGGGTTATTTGATGTTTTTGGTATCGCTGATTTTAATTCTGAGCATAGATTTATAAAATTTCGAGCTCTAAGAACAATATTGACAACATAAATGAATATAAATGTATAGCTTCAGAACTTTCCTTTAGCATTATCCAGAGCCAACGACGTGGACGGTAGAAAGTTTCTAACTGTTTTTCTTTTTTATTTGGTTTTTTAATTTTATTTTTTTTTATTTTTTTCTTGTTTTATAATTTTTTATTTTTTTATATTCTTTGATCTTTGTACATTTCTCAATATATATTTTTTATAAGTTTTATAATTTTTATTTAATACATATACATATGTGTTTAATACATTTAATATTTAAAATACCACTAAAAATAGTTTACCTACTCCATCAGCATCTCTCTCTGAATCTCCGTCGCAAATAATGTTTTAAGATGCTAATAGTTCTCGGATTGACTTATGATATCTTAAGACTACTTAAGTCTTAAATGCAAGAATCGACTATGAATACCGGCTTGTTTCATGTCGTAAAATTGAATCTTTCTTTGTTTAACATACTTTATGTTTCTTTTTCTGTAGAAAGAGAAACATAAAGTGTGTTTTCTTTCTATGAAAGATTTGCAAAGCAGTCGATTCTTACATTTAAAACTGTCTTAAGTACAGTCTTAAGATGTTAATCCGAGAACTGTATTAGCATTTTAAAACATTATTTAAGACGGTTTTAAAATAAAAACTATTAGCGTTTTCGGCCCGACCGGGTTTGTACTAACTTGGGTTAGAAAATGCTTTGCTATTGGTTGACGTTACATGCTCTACCAATAGGAGAGCACGAAACATCATTACTTCAACCCAGGTTAGTGCAAACTCGGTCAGGTCGAAAATGCTATATGAATATCGCTCCATGTTTAACGTTTCACAGTCGGCAGCCTTAGTCTCTTATCGACATTCATAGACAGAGATGACAGAGATTCAGAGAGAGATGCTTGCAAACTGCACACTCCATGTTATTCCTTCCACCATGATTGCGCCTGCACTGAATCCAGATTATCGGATCTCAGTAACAGTATAATATACTCCATCCATAGGGCAAATTGAACATTTTCGAAACGATAAGTTGAGCCGAAGCTACGAAGTTTAATAAGGTTATATTATTAAAAACATGAATGATATTATGTGTATATTAATTAAATTTTTATTAGTTTCGTTTTAACTGTAATAATTTATAATACATATATTTTTTTTAAATGTTTTAATTTATAAAATTAGAAAATTAAAAATTTTATTGTTTGTAATAATTAAATATAAAATATATGTTTCATCGTTAACATAGAATAAAAAATATTGACAAACATAGATTTCATTTAAGTTTGACAATTTATAAGGTTAATCGTGAGATATTTGGTCTAACAAGCTTCATATTATCGGTATTGACTGAAATAATCTTTTATAACTAAAAAATTATACATAAAATAGCAACTTGAACATTAAAATACTCTAATAACTATTTAAAAAACACTGGTTTTTATTAATCGCTTCAATTATCACTTGGATCAAAAAGAATACTAATCACCTAATAATTTTATTCTTGATGCACAAACGAAAATATGTGTTTGACAGTTGACAAACCGGACACAGATTGTTGCATTGAGCGCAGTATGTCTGTGTCTTTGTCCTTAAGCATGCATATAGACATATTCATATATACATTTTAGTAATTTAGATATTTGCATTTGCTCAACTTGTCCCGCTCTATACTTTATACGCGAAATTTCCTGACGAAAATAAGAAGTTTCATGAATATTTTTTTGAACGCTTAAATGAACCGAACGTTTGGAGAAGTTCGTTGAGAGTAGAAGTGTTCATAAAGTCGAAATCCAAAATTGCAATGTTTTAGCGTTTTTAGAAAACGGAGTTGAGAAAAGCGCTTTTTGAGCATCTCCAAGTTCGACAGTAAACTCTCTGCACGAAGCTGCATCAACGTTTACTGCCAATATAACATGGCTTCCTGGAAGCTTCCTGGAAGTAAAATTTATGTAACTTTATTTAAGCTTCAAAAAGAACTCCCCTTCGCTTTTGAGAATTCCTGGGAGCTTTATTTTGGTTCGCAGAGAACTCTTTTTAAACTCCTCGAGAACTCATCAAAATGAACTCTCTTTCAGTCGACACAAACTGAAAGTAACATAATCTAAATATTATCATTTCGTACTTTACAGTATAAATGTAATATAACACATGGTGACGTTATGTTACTTTCAATTGGTATCAACTGGGCTGAGAGCTTATTTAGTCGAATTTTGTAAGCTCCCCGGAAGTTCAATAATATGAATTCCCTGGGAACTTAATTGGAGCTTTGTATTGTGTAGGTGAGCATTACAGAACTTTCATGAAACGACATATACTATATTTTGTAAGCGTTCTAAAAGTGTTTAAAACCCATTGGTGTTGTGTAAGCGTTTTTATAAAGTTCAAAAGCCTATAAACTCTCGAAAAATCATCATTGAACGGTTGTCAACGCTTTATAAAGCTTTCTTATTTTCGTCAGAGTTGTGACCCACAAATTATTAACAATAAACTGTGTAATTATATTAACAATTGTGATTGACGATTACTTTTTAACCAGTTAAAGCAAAGCAATCGATTGATTTGCTGTGATTGGTCGAAAAGTAATCGCTAATCGCTAATCATAATCGCTAGTATACGATTACGACTTTACGGTGTGAGATACAGAGCGTAATATTTTGAAGCATTAAGAAAAATGGAACACTGTCTTCTTGTGATCAAGAGCTTTATTTAGGCATTACAGCAATGCGCTGAATCGAAGATTTATTCATTATGAGTCTGACAAGAACTGAGCTTGCACTGATTGAGAAAAGTGTTTGGTATTTGTAATTTCATAATTGCATAATGAAATAATTATAATTAGGGGGGAACGTTATGTTTTAATAGATAAACATTTTTAAAAATAATTGTTAACGAAACACATAAACAATATCATATATACATATATTATTATACACATATTGCATTAAAAAATTTGGAACGCGTTGTAAAGAGTTGTTAAAATATGGAGTCGTCCCTCACAATTTGGGTTGATCACTAATAATAAGTATGAGAATTTTTTTTATCAGGGAAGTTATTGCAGATTATCCAGGAAGTGTTACGAGAAATACACGAATCCTCGAGAACGTGTATAATCTGGAGATTTCATAACATTCCACGTCGATGAGGCGTGTTGTGTTAGTCATATTTTCTTTCCATATTTTTTGTGTATCACACTCGACAATTTTATGGAAAACGCGGCGTAGCGTAGAACGAGAAGAGAAGGATGAAAAGAAAGGAAAAGAGAGTGCACAGAAAGTGCAGGTATAAGCTAGAGATCCTCTAATAGAGGCGAGCACGCGTGCTTACGATGTGAACAGCTGTGAGTGCTGTTGTTGAGTATAAGTGTAGCTGTAGCCGGTAGTTTAATCAATGATATACACACACTTACAAATATGGTATGCAGTATGGACGCCTTGTCGACTTCGTGATGTTTACACGTGACGTATTGTACATATCCTACATGCATTTCCATAGTAAATGTGCCTCGCTGTACACAAGTACGTTCCTAATTTTGACGATTCGACGAATATTCGTACTGTTCATCGAAGTACTGCCCGAAAGATCGCCTCTTCGCGAATGGGCGACTCGATTTTAAATCGATCGACGAGGAATGCTTTATCGATTTCCAAGGTTAATCATGGGACTTCTGTGCGCGCGTGTGTGCACTTCTTACGTCTGGTTTGTCGCGTTTGTTCTACTTTTTTCCTTTTCTCTTCCAGTTCTCGAGTTTACATTCAGGCACGTGGGTGAAAGAGATATTTCACTCATCTGCCACATTAATTTAGCGTGCCTAGTTAATGAATATTTCATTTTTAATTAATACTCTCTAAACACACATTGTTGAGTAGGAAATTATAACATTGATATATAATAGTATTACTATTTATATACTACTAGTAGTATTACTATTTGTGTTCACTGCAATATATATTAAATTATTGTAATATGACTAATGTGTAATTATACTTGTTGATTTTCAGGTCACATCTTCAAAAATCCAGAAGTAATTAACATTATTCTAGAACCTGGTATATGGTAAGTTTATAAGTTCTACATACAGTTTGTATGTTTATTTGTTCGAATAATGAGACAGAAACTTCTCTTCAGCTCCAAGGATGAGGAGGTGGACAATGATTGCGTAGTGAGAGCGCGCGGTCTCCCTTGGCAATCTTCAGATCAAGACATTGCCAAGTTTTTTCGTGGGCTAAATGTCGCAAAGTAAGTGATCTCTTTGAGATACATAAAGTAAGACCAATTATAGGACTAACAGGAGTTTTGAGTAAAATAAGTTAATTTGTCCTCTAACTATCTTTTGATATTTATGCACAAGCCACGTGGATCTGTGTGAAGCAGGTAACTGAAATAGCCGTATATTTCTATAATGCACTTAGATGCACAGGATCTGTCATTCTAGTTTCTCCTCTATGACATAACACATAAGTGCAAGATATATAATATATATATATATTTTTCTTCAATATATATATATGTGTGTATATCTCCGAGGAAACTTTTCTGCTCGCTTATTAGTTGTTGAATAGTGACGAAGCATTATATTTGGAATTGTGGATCTTGTACGCTATATGAATTTAATTCTGAACATTATATTTCTTGTAGAGTGTCCTTAACTTTCCATTGGCTAAGTTGAACTTTAAAGGCAGAGTCAATTTTTTGATTGTGAATGTTAATAAATTTATTATAAATCTGTAAAAAATAAGTAAAATGCAATCTGATGATAGTAAAAATTTGTTTAAACTTTTACAAGTATGCAACAATTTTTTCTGATTTTTATATAGTCCAAAATAGTATAAAAATCTGCAGCTTAAAAACACAAATTGCTGCAAGACTTGAAGAATGTGCAAAATTCCACACTGCCGATGAAGAGTTAATAATCATTATATCTGAATTCTTTAATTACAAATAGAAGAGCCGGTCACTGTTTGATGATATGCGCTAACAATGATGTAATAACTTTTTTAGGGGTGGTGTAGCTCTTTGTTTAAGTCCTATGGGAAGGCGTAACGGCGAGGCATTGGTACGGTTTATTAATAAAGAACACAGAGATATGGCGCTGAAGAGGCATAAACATCACATGGGTGCACGATACATAGAGGTTTACAAGGCCTCCGGAGAGGATTTTATTGGCGTTGCTGGTGGTACAAGCGGGGAGGCACACGCTTTTCTGTCACGCGGGGCTCAAGTCATCGTTAGAATGAGGGGCTTGCCCTACGATTGTGTTGCTAAACAAGTGGTACATAATCATTTAATGATCTAAAATCCTACTTGTGTATACGATAACCAGACAGCTTTTCGATTACATATCGTCCATCGTTTTATCCATTGTATACACTGTCAGTAATGTTCTCTTAGCTGGAATTTTTTCAATCTGGACAAAAACCATGCCAAGTATTGGATGGTGAGGATGGCGTGCTATTTGTAAAGAAGCCAGACGGTAGAGCCACAGGTGACGCCTTCGTATTATTTGCGAAGGAAGAGGATGCGGTGAAAGCCTTGAGCAAGCACAGAGACTGTATTGGCAGCCGTTACATAGAACTTTTTCGAAGTACAACCGCGGAAGTGCAACAGGTAAATTTGAGCGTGAAGCTTATGACAATGAAGAAACATACGTTTTTATTCAAATTTTGATGTTATTATATATAGGTCCTAAATAGGGCGACAGATCCGAAACAAGTAATACTACCACCACCGCCTATCGCGCAACTTCCACCCTTACTTCCTCAACATATCATAACGTCTGGTACGCGCAAAGATTGTGTGAGACTTCGTGGTTTGCCGTACGAAGCACTCGTCGAACACATTTTGGAATTTATGGGAGAACATTCTAAAAATATCGTCTATCAGGGTGTTCATATGGTATACAATGCTCAGGTAAATCCATCGGTTAAATATACAGGAAGCGCAAGAAATGTTATACCAATTAATTAATTATTTAATTTTTAGATGTTGATAGTCAATTCTAGGATCAATTCTGTTAAAAATAAATGTGTTATAAAACTAGATGGTATATCGTTTCGTGTACCATTTTATTTCTACGTAGATAATTATTTTTTTTTTTTCAAAATAAATAAAAAATGTAAATTGATACTGGATGATAGTGTATAAAATTTGTGTATTAAGAATAGTTTATGTTATAATATTAACAATAATTGTCAATTACAGACAATAGTTTCAATCACAATTTCGTCTTTTTTTTCTAATTTTTAATTGTGAAATCACTAGGGTCAACCGTCTGGCGAGGCATTTATTCAAATGGACAGCGAGGCATCGGCATACGCGTGCGCGACACAGCGACATCATCGATACATGATCTATGGCAAGAAGCAGCGATACATCGAAGTGTTTCAGTGCAGCGGCGACGACATGAATCTGGTATTGACAGGTGCGGTAACACCGCCGTCGACCAAGGCACTACTATCACCCGGTACGTTGACCACACAGTCCCCCGCGACCTTGACACATCCGCCTGCGCCAACACCGGTGCCGGTACCGGTACCGGCCGCGCAGCCGCCGCCGCCTCCATCACCCTTGTGGGACATTCACGCTCTGGTACAGGCCCAAGCCGCTCAGGCCGTTCAGGCGCAGGCTCAGGTGGCACAAGCGCAGGCCGCCCAGGCGCAAGCTATCAGGAATCAAGATCTATGGTTGATGGCTCTGGCATCGAATCCGTCTCCTACCTCGACTACCCATTCACCCACTTCGGCAGTCGCCGCTGCCGCCGCCGCCGGCGCCCCCACCAGGCAAACACTCCGCTTCTTCATGCCCCGCCGACAAGCCAGGCAGCAGCGGCGGCGGCCGCGGCGGCTGCGGCGGCTACGCCATTTTTGCTCTTTAACGTTCCCCATCATTCCCGTATTCCTATTCTGCGGGCACCAGCGCCGCATGGGCTGTTAACGCCTATCATGCCCACCGCGCCAACCTTGAATCCGGCCGCGATAATGGGTCTGAAGCGAACGTGGGACGCTGCTTTCCCCGCTGACGCGACAGCGGGTACCGTTGCTGCAAAACGTACTTGGCATACACCGGCAGCGGCGTTTCACGCGCCAGCTCCGACCGCGGCTCCGGGCTTGCCTTACCCAGCTCAGTTTTATCCCCAGATCTGATGCGTTGCTGCATCAATCTCTAGCTTCGTTTTATAGACTCTTCCTTGAGTTTCACGCGATAAAAACGAAAACATTTTCCTCGATTTCTTCACTAAAGTAAGAATTTGTTATTCGCGTGGAAATACGTATGCTATGCGGGAATCGCCGTGTTACCGACAATACGACTTACTTTTAACGGATTTATGTACATTCTTAGCGAGTAAGCGTTGTAATTATTCGCGATAGCTACGACATTCCGTTTCATATTCCAAGTCTGGCAGAACGTCATTTACAACGTTTGCCCAATTGATAAAATGTACCTAACGTTTAGGTATGCTTGGTACAAATTCGGGCGTTACTTACACGACGGTACTTAACTCACAAGACGGTTTATTTTTTTTATCATAATGCATTTAAGCAGCAAGTTTAATCTTGGTAAGCATGTTAATTGTACTGATAGTGGTATATAAAATTCCATTTAGCGTGCGTATATGTTCTTTTGTAATCGCGTGTTCATGAAGTACCTGTGGAAGATCGCGCAGAAAAAAAAAAACGTCCACGTGAGCGTAACGAAGTGCCTTATTTAATGCAATGTGAACACGAAATACTTTATCTAGCTCTCGGAATTCTATGATTCACGCGTACGCGCTCCCTTTTATATATCCTTACAAACACACACACGCACATATGCGCGCGCGCGCGCGCGCGCACACGCACACACACACACACACACACACACACACACACACACACACACACACACACACAGAATCTGGTAAGTTTTGATAAAACGCTTATATGCAGATAAGCGGACTAAACTGAGTCGAAAAGTCCTCTATCATTTTGCAATTTTCGCAAAAATGAACGTGATATTAATTTCTAAAGATAGTTGAATAAGAGGATGAAATTGACGCAATAAAACAACTTTAAGATTTCTTTCAGAGTTCTTTATAAAATATCTTAAAGATGTTTTTTTAAAGAACTCAAAGGTAAAATTTTTAAAATTTTTTTGTTAATTTTAAACATTTTGCTCATTGGATAATTAAAAAAAAATTACGAAAATTGCAAACACATTGCAATTGGTACAGGACTTTTCGACAGTTTAGTCCGCTCTATCTATACATGAGCATTTTGTCAAAACTTACTGGACACCCTATATATGTACTATGCATACATATATATATTTATGGAGCGTTTCAGAATTATCATAGTGTATATGCAGATTAATTCTGGATTTTACCGAATGCTAGAAATTATTCGGGACATTAATATTCTTCATGCATTTTTTGCTGCAGGTATTTTCTTATCTTTGTATCACAAACATGTTAAAATCGGTTTTTATTTTTATGGAAATAATCATTGTAAAATTTTGTTAATGTAATATATGATTTCTTTCTAGTGACACATTTTTATTTTGTATTACAATGATGATGATATTCAAGCAATTTTGGATGATCATGTATTTTTTAATGTGATGTTTTATTAATACCTGTGAAAAAATGTCCGATGAAAAATTTCTGTTTCGAAAGAAGTCTACAAGTCGGTATTATCAGAAATATTCGTTTATATATATATATATATATATATATGTATATATATATATATATAAATGTTTTATATATTTTTCGAGAAATATTTTATAACTATAAGTA